AGTCGCCTTCTTTATCCTTCTCGACTTAAACAATGCACCTTGGTAAGTTTTAACAACTCCCCTTCTCGCTTTCTCGATTTAAACAAGGCGTATTTTCGCCTTCTCGACTTAAACATGACAGATTGACGAGTTTTAACAACTCCCCTTCTCGCCTTTGCGTCTGAAACAAGGCCCCTCACTCATACTAATCTTGAGCTCTGGTATGGGAATTGTATTTTGAGAGAGAATTGCTATGATTTAATATTCTGGATTGTTTATCCTGCAGTAGATTGGTTGTTTGAACCAGTGAATTAAAAAAACGCAAACAAAATTAATGGGCATGATCTTCGATAAAAACCACAACTCCCATTTGCACATAATGACCCGTTTATAAGCACATGGTGTCGGGTCTATACTTACCCGGATTTTCTCATCTGTTCATGCTCATTACTTAGCCACTAAAATTTTTCTACCAAAATTGTTTGGCACATTCAGAGTAGAGTTAGTTGTATTCTGTGAGAATCTATTTTTCAATATTTACCAGAACTCATGCTTATCTTGAAACTTCCGTAGTATTTCATTCAGATCCTGTCTTAATTATGACATATAATACTAAAGGGTGACAGGCATGATCAGTCACTAGGACTTCACAAAGTTGCAGGCATTAATCCATTGCAATTCGGTAATTTATAAAGGTCTACATGAATAAGTTGGCAGCAGTAATTTGTATTCTCCACTTTTTCAGAATTACACTAAAGAATAATGTGTATTGAATAGAGCCGTGTGAATGATAATTACAAACAAATAAAGAAGTAATTGCCAATTCTTACACAGTGATTGTAAATTCATTTTGCCTTACCTATATTATTTAGAGACTTATGACGATTATTTTTCGATTACATTGCTCTTAATCAACACAGTCTTCCATGGGCTTACAACTTTCAGTGATTGATACACATTTTGCTCATTTACATTTTGAATTTCAGAACATTCTAAATAAAAAAAATAAAAATAAAATGAAACGGTGACACTAAACTGATGTGTGTTCAATCTAGATATCTTACGGAAATGGCATGGTCTGTGTATTATTTGACAATAATGTTATATTATCAGTGCAGTCGTATTTTAAGAAGAACATTTATATATATATTTAATGCAAGTGGTTTGTACCAATATAGCAAAATAACAGGAGTGGGCCCAGTGTTTTTCTTAGGGAGGGTGAGGTGCTCTTTAAAAGTCAGAATTTCCCGGATAAACTTCATTTTGCATGAAATTGTAAAGGCTTATTGTTGGTGAATACCTGAATCTGTGCGAACGAATTTTATCGGTCTTTGTGCATGATGTGGTACTTTACTGACGGGATTCGCTGGTATGAATAGCTGTCAGATATTATCGCGTGATAACCTGAAGTATAGTTTGCAATTGCACATTTAGCAAAAAATGCCACAAAAAGACTCATTTTTTTTGGTATTAACTATTCATCTATGCAACAACAGCCTGCATTCCATAATGCGCACGCGGATGTATTCCTTTCAGAAAGAGGAACGGACTCAATTCTTAACCCGTTCGCTACTGAATTCTCTATTTCTCATAGGCTTATCACAGGGACCACCAGGCTCCGGTAAGCAATGGGTTAAAGTTCATCCATCCCTTCAGACAGGGAAGTCAGATCTATAAAATGCACAAAGTGAAACCTCGCCATGCGTCATGGACGCTATGTGTATTAAAAAGAAAGAATCATAATGCTAGCTATGCGAGCATAAACATGTTTACCAAGTTATAAGAAATAAAACGCTGTTCATAATTACAGAGGCTGCTACGCTGTAGTACGTGGACAAATACAGTGTGTCCCGAAAAAAACTATACACTTTTGAAATGGCTGCCGAATAACAAATATATGATTCTAGGGGAAAAGTTATATATGTATGGAAAGCTCATATACTCAACTTTCATATAACATCAAAAGTTGCGAAAATAATTCATGCTCGGGTGAGCACTGCTCACTTTTGTAAAGGGTATGAAAATTAGGTTGCGCAGGAATTAGCCTTCCAATTTGTGACACTTAATCCTTTGGAGCTTACGGAATTGAGGATGATATGGCCAATTTATGATCAATTGTGATGAGTTTGGGTTTGCTGAGTGAAATGTTTGGTTTATGGGATTAACATTTTATGCATGAGTGAACAGGAATTGCATTTTTTATTGTAGCACTGTAACTTCCCTGTTAGACTCAGTGGTGTGTTCATGGGAGTCAGGATGGGGTGATGGTACATGTTGTAATTTCCATGTTACAAACTGTTATTCTCTTACATCTGTGACTTTGAATAAAAACCTTCACCCCACATTTCAATTATTGTAAGATTAGTTGAACATCTCATTGATTTATTCAATACCCAGGTAGGGATAATGTAAATCGAATATTCAAATACGGTTTGTTGAAAAAAGGAATGTCCAAGATGTCGGCTACTTATTCTTCAGGTAAATGGTAACTGAAATGTGGGGTGAAGGTTTTTATTCAAAGTCACAAATGTAAAAAAATAACAGTTTGTAACATGGAAATTACAACGTGTACCATCACCCCATCCTGACTCTCATGAACACACCACTGAGTCTACCAGGGAAAGTTACAATGCTACAATAGAAAAATGAAAATCCTGTTCCGTGCATAAAAGTTTGGTTTAATAAACCATGGAATTCACTCAGTAAATCATGAATTTATCATATCACCCTCAATGTTGTAAGCTCCAAAGGATTTACCTCTCACACATTGGAAGGCTAATTCCTGCGCAACCTAATTTTCATACCCTTTACAAAAGTGAGCAGTGCTAACCCGAGCATGAATTATTTTCGCAACTTTTGGTGTCATATGAAAGTTGAGTTTATGGGCTTTCCATACATATACAACTTTTTCCCCTAGAATCATATATTTGTTATTCGGCAGCCATTTCAAAAGTGTATAGTTTTTTTTCGGGACACACTGTAGAGCATGAACACAGGCAGCAGATAATGCGGCAATGGTTCCTGGGAGGGGGGGGGGGTGAAACAGTCAACATAACTCATCATATTAATCAGTAAAATGTTCTTGCTAATACTATAGCGCCATAATCCTACTAATTGCTGCAATATTCTGCAACCTGCTCTAGTTTCTGCGATGATGGCGATATAATAAGATACATTCCACAATCGAGTTCCATACAACAACAAATATTAATGAAATTAATTGCAAAAGATTAATGAAGAAAGTGGGGGGGGGGGGGGGGGGGGGGGGGGCCGTGCAATCTTGATCCCACCCCAAAATGTGCCTCTTCAAATGTTTGACCATGAAGGCTTAGAGAGAGAGAGAGACAGAGAGAGAGAGAGGGAGGGAGGGAGAGAGAGAGAGACAGAGAGAGAGTGAGAGAGACAGAGAGAGACAGAGAGAGAGAGAGAGAGAGGGAGGGAGGGAGAGAGAGAGAGAGAGAGTGGGGGGGGGGGGAGGTGGAGAGACAATTTGCAAAAAAGCTGGGTTAATCTATTTATTCTCATTCCTTTCACTATTGCTGTTCATCATCTTTTGACATTTGCCAATAATTTATTGATTGCGTTATTAATTGATTAATAAAGGGAGGGAGAGAGAGAAAGAGGGAGAGAAAGAGAGAGAGAGAATAGAAAATAGATAGTAATAGTTATATTGATTATGACGGTGCTTTCGTGTGTGGGAAAGGGGGCGTGTGTGGAATGGGGGGAGAGAGAGAGATAGGCAGACGGAAAGGTGGTGGCTGGGAGGCGGAGGGGTTGAGATTGATATAGGAAGATACAGTTGGTAAAAATGCATTTCACTCAACTCTTTATCATACAAGATCATATATGCCGGCATAAATGCTTACGACGTTATTCACACGATCAACGACTTCCCCAATTCGATACAAAATTCCACTTTTCGTTCTCTCTCTCGTCCTCTCTCTCTCTCTCTCTCTCTCTCTCTCTCTCTCCCTCATTAATAATTGTATTTGTATGCCAGCGATATAAATTCGCGCTATTCCCATTAGGCACGATTTCCTCTTCCGGAAAGCTATAGTTGTGTTCTTTTCACAACCTTATGGTCATCAATTAAAATGAAACTAAAACGTCAGAGCTATTTTAGGGTATTGTGCTCGCATTTTTTTGTCACGAATCGTACCATTCCATTACCTCATGAAGCTCCATCGTCAAGATTCGTCTCTCTATCTTTCACTCTCTTGCCTTTTCTCTCTCCTGCTATTTATGGATTTCTCGAGGGAGAGTGTTCCACAGCATTATTCAGTCCTTCAGTTCAATTCAGTTCAACAAATATTTAACTAGAAGTCGTATTTTCCCTTTAAAAGACGAATAAACAAAGGGGTGTTTGACAACTGCACGTTCGTTCATTCGTTTTGTTCCTTCCAGCACCCCCCATGTCTGTGGTCTTAGTATAGATACTTTATATGGTATTGATTCAAGTAATTCAAATTATTTTATTTCTCATGCAAACACATAATACAAGAATAATTATATCACAACAAATATGCAATGAAACGATAAATATAAGGAAATAGCACGAGAGAGAAACTTGAAGCAGAGCTTGTTAAAGTGTTAGTTCCTCAGATGCTGTTTTACAATAAAACATGAACAAAGTATGCTTAGAAATCAATAAATAGTCAAATATGTAGCTAAGAAGTGAGTAGAAAACAAAAAGAAAGAAAGCTACAAAAAAGGGAAAATTAATGATTGCAAAAGCTCTAGAAAAGGGAAATTAGATCAGTATAATGAGGGAGAAAAGGATTGAGAAAGAGATTGAGTCGAGAGTCAATTTGGAGAGCGTATGTAGATCTAGGGCCGCGGAGATGTGATTGTGTCTTTTAGAGAAGCGAATGCAAAAAGAAGAAAAGGTCATTTCCAATATCATCTGGTGACCAATGACACACCATTGTCAGGCTATTCATCACGGTAATCGAATCGTTGTTGATTTAGAAGACCACATGGTTCTAAAATGTGCATAACCTCTTTTGTCTTTTTATTCGCAGGAAACCAAACTTCTAATTCTTCCGAAGCTGTGCAGGTACTATCGGGATATTTATACAAAGGTCTTTGAACTCCTTGCTACGCCTTATACACCATGAGGGCCTTAACAGTCCTTCTTTTGACAGCATTGCTGGTTGCTATGGTAACCGGACAGACCTCCTACCCACCATATCCAACATCTTACTACCCGGACAACCCGTACCCGTACCCGGACTACCCGGATCCGGAACCGCAACCGTTCCAGAATCCAGGAGAGATCATTCCTGGCTCTGGGTTTAACATCGAATTCCTGATCAACGCTGCTGGTGGTATCTGGCAGCAGGATCGGGTCATTGATTCAATGGCATATGTTTGTAAGGATGTCCTTCCGGTAGTCGGTTCGATGATACCGGAAGTGGACCCTACAAGTCTGTATTGGGGTTTCGTCTGTGATGAGGTCATCGAAGCTTCTAAAGATCTGGATGCATTTGATGCAACGGGATTCTGCAATGACATAATAACTGTGATCACTGACTTGATATCTCAGGAGAGTGGCGAAAGATATCGCAGACAAGCGGAATATATGGATGATCCCCTGGGTATCATCGAGATCCTGACCAACATCACCAGAGACCTCTATGGAATCGACATCAACATGATCATCAATGACCCATCTACAATCAACACCATCTGCACCAACGTCAAGAAGAATTTCTTGAGACCATCTCTTGAAGATCTCATCTCTCAGTTCGCGACTGAACTGATGAGTGCATTTCTACCCCAGGCAGCTCCGATATGTGACAACTGGGAAGGTTTCCTCGAGGACTTAAGGTTGGACTCCACCTCTCCAGTGTACCATATCATCGAGAAGGCTGCTAATATCGGATCTCAAGCCGTGGGGTACGACGACTTTGACGCGCTATGTGAGGCCATCACCCAGGCCCTTGAAAGTAGGTAACACACACACACACACACACACACACACATGCGCGCGCACACACCAGCTCGCACAAACACAGGCACGCACGCAGGTGCACCCACACACATACACACATGGACACTGATACATCACGGATATAATACAGTGCGAGTCAGAAAAAATGAAAGTTTTGTAATTGTCTATTGTTTGGAGTTAGTGGTAAATGATATATAGAAATATTTAGATATGTCCATGTATTACAAAATACTGCACACCTCTTTTGATACCATATGTCATGCATCCTTGCGCATGATCGGTCAATTGAGGAAGGCCTATACATGATTGTACCATGGACCTACAAGGCCCACGATTGTACACACATTATATGTTTATTCTATTGTATTCACATGAGAGGGTTTCGTGCCTTGATTCAATACCTTCATTATGTATACAGCCTACCGTGTTTTTTTTTTCATTCCTCGATCTGTTGGCAGATGATGACATCAACGCGAGGAGAACATTCTCCAGAAATGTCATCGAGAGTGTCATCGACCTCCTGGAGAACGGAGAAAGATGTACAGCTTTGGGCAATTATGCTATCACCAGCCTCGAGGAAAACAGCGCCCTCAACAGCGGCGGCATCGATTACTACCCGTCTTCCTATTCTATTGATCATCTACTCTATCTTTACACCGGTTTCTGGTCGGCCGAGGACATTTGTTATGCATTGGAGGAAGCATTTACTAGTGAGTTTATTCATAAGTTTGTCTAGTTTAAAACTAAATCTTTGTATCTATTTCACGGAAATGTTCACTCTGTTATACCTTTCAACTGACATAGTACGTGTATTTATATCTATATTTGCAATTATACGTACCCAATAATTCAACACTAATTAACATGCCTATACTGGAATTCAAGTGTAAACTATGAGCAAATGTAATAAAACTGTTAATTTTCCCCCTTTCTCGACAAAGCTCCTTCCTTTTTCTTCTCTTTGTCATATTTCCCAGGTTGTCCCTTTTCATTTCCCCCTTTCACTCTTAACTTAGATAATTGGAGATTCGATTCGATTCGATTTTTGTTTCTTGAATTGAAAATACCTTATTTATTGTTTTTGTTAGTTTCTCCGATAGACAGAACTTCTTTCTGGAAGAATAATTTAGACTTCGCTTCCCAGCAACATTATCTATTGTTTTTATTTCATTGTCGTCTTTATTCAGCCGAAGTGGAACTACCTACCCCTCGAGTCGATTTCATTCCAGGAACGAACCTCACTCTTAAGTTCTTCGTCAACGCTGCTGGGGGTTTGTGGCAACAGGACCGCCTCGTCGACACCCTCGACTATGCTTGTACTGATGCCCTCCCAGCAATCACCGTAATGGTACCTGTCGTGGGTTACTACCGTCACTACTACAACCCTATCTGCCAGGAGATTAGGGAAGCAGCAAGAGACCTTGAGGCTTTTGACTCGACCGGCTTTTGCGACCGCATCATGGATATGATTAGCGACATATCTCCTGGTGACACTGATGGTGGTATTGGAACCTACGACATCGCCGGATCCATACCAGATCCCATGGGCATCATCGGAACCCTGGTCAACATCACCAGAGAACTCTACGGAATCAACATCAATGACATCTCCACGATTTGTCCTAATGTCCATCAGTTCTTAGATCAGCCTCTTCCTGGGATTTTCTTAGAGTTTGGGACTGAGTTGATGAGTTCGCTACTGCCACTAGCAGAGCAAGTCTGCGAATGGGACGCTTTCTTAGAAGGGTTTGGAGTTGATTCATCCTCGTCATATTATCAAATTATCGAGGACGCTGCTCGTATAGGATCTCAGGCTATGGGATATGATAGTAGACAGGCTCTTTGTCAAGATCTGGTCCGCGCAATCTCTGCTGAAGGTAGGTATTATAAAAAAGTACCAAGGTATTATTATTATTATTATTATTATTATTATTATTATTATTTATATACTGCGCTTTTCCCAGAGTGGCCCAAAGCGCTTACAACAAGAAGAATCATACACAAAATAAAAATGAAAACTTACATAATCCTAAAAATCTGGATTACAAAAAAGAAATGTTTTAAGTCCCTTTTTGAATGAAGAGACAGATGGTGATTGTCTGAGTGTTAAAGGTAGCCTATTCCAATATTTAGATGCAGTTATAGTAAAAGTCCTATCTCCAGCTAGTTTCCGTGTGATGTTATATGTAAGACGGAGTGGGTCACTGGAGGCTCGTAGATTCCTGCTAGGGGTGTATAGGGTCAAACAATCACGTAGGTATTGAGGTGCCTGTTTATTAAGGGATTTATAAACTAAAAATAATAATTTAAAAACGATACGATGTCTTACAGGTAACCACGATTCTTTGTCCAAATTCCCATCCACAATCAAACCATGGTAACCACAATCGTAATTTCACTTCGATGGTCACCATGGTTCGAATGGTAGACGGTAATTCAGACAAAGAACAAAGTGTCATGTGTACAATACTGTTAAACCCATCCAGATGATTATTGGATGCATGCTAATATAGTTATGTAATCAATATTCATTTATTCACCGACCACACATTCTATGACACCCAGTTGGAGGTACTCTTCTCAAGAGAGCAACAAAAAAGGCATTCATGAAGCACCTCCATCACTTTGCTCAAAGCAGGACTCCGCTATGTTTAAAATACCTGTCTATATATTTTGGATCATTTGGACCATGTGCTTACTACAAACTGGTGTATTGCGTAATTGCCCGTTTCACCCGTTGACCATTGAATTATCTCATTTCAGTTATATTGAGTTTAAATTCCTTCGTCCCAATCTTTTCAATTATTCAGATACTTAAGATACATAACTAAAATGACTCTAACCCGACCAATTCGCGAATGAGGGTAAAGCTACGGTCACAATTAAAGGTTCGTACGAAAGATGCATTCGTAAGAACCTCCCTGTTTTCCCATGGTCTTTCCGAACTTCCATGGTCTGAAAATCGTTCGTTCGACGTTCGTAACAGTTCGTAATGGCATTGTGACCGAGGCTTAAATTAGTAGCAAGTTCGGTCTGTTGTCATGTTGTCGTGTTGTTATGGCAGCGTTTCACGAAACCGTCGTACAAGTGATATAAGTAATAAGCTCCCCTACAACTCATTGAAACGCGTGTTATTAACTTTAGCACGCATTTCAATCGAATGGCGGTGAACTCGTACCTGTGGCAGTTTCGTGAAACGGTACCCTATAGTGGAGGTGTCTTTGATGTGACTTGGAGTAAAATATAATGTGTTATTTTTGTATTTCTAGGAGACGAAGCAAGCATGACATTCTCCAGGAATATCATTATCAGAATGTTCGAGCTACCGACAGATGCAGATCGTTGTTCAATTCTGGTCAGCGAAACTCTTGAAGGTGTCCTAGAACCAGTACTCCATAATGTTCTTCCTAATGGGCCTTCCGTTCATATTAGCGACTACCTGATTTCTCGTTACACCGGCTATGAGAATGTCTATGAAATCTGTCAAGATGTAGAGACAGCATTCACGAGTAAGCCAACCACTTAACTTTTCAAATTCATGTTGGTCGAGAAAGTGCGCGTGCAGAATTCCACTCATACCCATGAGAATGTGTATGAAATCTGTCAAGATGTAGAGACAGCATTCACGAGTAAGCCAACCACTTAGCTTTTCAAATTCACGTTGGTCGAAAACATAAGAAAGTGCGCGTGTAGAATTCCACCTATTCTCATGGGATGTGTTTTAAAGGCTGTTTTCTCCGGATGGCAAGCATGTTTTCATGAAAACTACTGAAATCAAAGTCACATTAGTATTGTTTACGTGATTGAGAGTGAAAAATAGATAACAAGATTCTGTATTGTCTACCAAAAGATTGTAAAGGGAACATTCTTGTTCAAACAACATGCAAACCGAGCTAACAGGTAACTACATTTTGGCTAGGAGATGTATTGTATTTAATAAACTTCATTGATTGACATCAATAATATGGTTATAAACATATAAATCAATTTACAATGCAATGTAACAAATTAATATTCTGTTTGTAAACATATCATATATGGGGGGGGGGGGCGCGATATCTCAGTCAGTAGAGCAGTGGTCTCGTAATCCGGTGACCTGGGCTCGAAACCAAGTCGATGCGCTAGTGCCCTTTGGTAAGACATTAATTCTCATTACCAGGTCCTTCGGAGAGGACCTAAATCCGTCGGTCCTCTGGCTGCTTACTAACAAGCATCTATGCTTTCTTAGCAGTCAGGTAACATAACCACCACTAACTAAAAAGTAACTATATTTTGGTTAGGGGATGAACATACATGATTTATCTGGTTTATTGCAGGTGAGGTGCCACTTGTCCGTCCAACTTACGGGGAACTCTTCCCTGATTCTGGTCTCACCGTATCCCTTCTCATCAACCTGGCTGGTAGTCTTTGGGAGCAGGACCGCGCCGTCGACTCTTACGCTTACGTCTGCACCGACATCCTACCAATCATAGCAAGGACCATCCCCGACTTCCGGGGGACAGAGAGATACTGGAAGCCAATCTGCAACTCCATTGTCGAAGCAGCTGATGACTCTAATGGGTTCGACGCAACGGGATTGTGCTATGACCTTGAGCGCAGGTTCTCATCACTTCTCGGTCCTGTCATGACCGAAGAGACATACCCAGAAGTGCCGACTTATAATATGTCATCAGAAGGGAATTGGTCGTATACGTATGAAACGATGGTGTATGTCAGTCCGTTTGTACAGCTCCTAATGAACATCTCTGAAATCTACGGGATCGATATCAACAACATAAGCACTGTCTGCTCCATAGCCAGTGACCTTCTAGAGCCTTCCCTGAGTGATCTCGTTCTGGACTTCGGCTCTCGGATCCTCAGTTTCTTCCTCCCACAGGCCAGTCCGATCTGTGAAGACGTCGATGCTTTCCTGAGTAGTACCCTGACATCATTCGGAATTGTTCCGTCCTCACCCTACTATCAAGTCATTCAGGATGCTATTGACATCGCACCTCGCCTCGTAGGATATAATAGCATAGATGCCATCTGTCAGCAAATGAATCAAGCACTTCAAAACGAAGGTAGTTATGGTATTAAATAGAAATAGCTTAGCGATGTGGCAGCACAAAAAGACGCGTCCTGAACGCAAACTGCATTGTTAAAAACCATAATTGCTATCACATCGTAGTATAATGGAACTGGTTTTACATGCACCATCTCGATGAGGCATAATGTTAGTTAAACTTTCATTCAGATATGTTAGAAAATACTAACTATTACGCATTTTTAGTTCCGAATGCGTCTTTTAGTGCCCTATATTTCGCCAAACGCACCAATATATACAATGAGAATACACAAACATTCTTCATTTGAAGAACAAAAAGCAAGTAATGTGTAATATTAGCTTGTTGCGTTGGCCATCAATCTGACTGGTAAATTCCAATGAAGGTAATTTCTAACAAAATATTAGAAAATATAAACTTAAGACGAAGAAAGAAGTTAACCCGAAATATTATCTCTTTCGTTGTCTCTCTTTATTCTCATCAGACATCGATGACCCGGCGAGACTGGATTTTACAAGGGGTCTCATCTCAAATCTACTGTCTCTCACGACCGCTGTGGGGAGATGCGGAAGCATAGCCGATGACATCATCCATGACGTCATAGAACCTCTTATCAATATTGGCAATCCTGGAGAGAGGTTTAACATCACTGATGATTTAATCCATCAGTATACAGGCTTCATGGGAGTGCAACCGATATGCAGGGCATTGGCCTCCGCATTCAGAGGTTCGAAATCACCTTTTTGCCATACCTGCGATTGGAAAGACTTTCGGAAAAATATAAACTTCGGTCACCAAACCCGTTTACTAATGTATTTACATTTTTACATTTTCTCGAAAGCGTTCGTAGATAACCCATATAAACGCCAGTTAGTCATTTTCGTATTAAATGTAATGCACATATCTTTAAGTGCTCGTTATGACTTATTTCATTCACCTTTTACGGATATTTGTATTTCAATAGTCAGAATGCGAATTGCATAAATTACGCGTTGAATGGACAATGAAATTATTTTAACATTGGTAATTTGTCACATTCGTATGTGTTTCTCTTTTTTCCTTCATGTACTAATTGCAGTTGAAAGCAAGTTCCAGACTTAGTTTTACAAATTGAATAGCGCACAAACATACAATCTGGGGGGGGGGGGGGGGGAGGGGTAGGCTAAATGCCCTCTGCCAGCTGGGTTAATTAATTAATAATAATAATAATAATAATAATAATAATAATAATAATAATAATAATAATAATAATAATAATAGCCTAATAGTCCACTCCAAATTTTATTAAACCGAAACGGAAATTCTTTTTGCCCAATTGATCGTGAGCCCGGCAGCCACCGAGCAGCGCCAGATCGACGTTGCTCTATCCCATATTGTCAAAGTAGATATTCATTGATTTTAAATCTAGCTTTATTTTCATTATTGCAAAGTTGAAACTTTGATTCGACAAGGTTATCAAAATTCAATGCTTGGAAATATTCGAAGTAATGATTATTATAAATTACAAAACGCTTAAATACAGCCCCAGCATAGCACCTGAATAGCTCTCCGAACGCTGCTGAGATGTGTGAGATCACAGCAGGGACATGATTTGCACAAGCAGACGATGTCCCATGACATCTCACACATTTTCAGTGCCTGTGTTTTCATCTTCTCTTGAGTTCTTTCTCTTACTTCACTACCGTCAGGCTAAATGTATAATCTATTGCCTCACTCTAAACCCCGCGCATGGTTTTATTTTGATGACAAATGCAGCGATACAAAAATAAAGGAATCTGTCGCTTGTAAACAAAATAAGACGCCATTGTATATTCAGCTGCACACACCGGGGTATGTTCGGCGTTTCAAGAGGGAACACATGCCGTCCTTAATATCAATCCGGGGGCTTTTCAATTTGAAAGTCTGGTTTCTTTGATTGTTAATTAACCCCTATCCTGAGTATTTACAAGCAAAATATTTTAGTTATCAGAATCGGGTCATGTCCCCTTTTGATCGGTTTGACATGCCATTACATTTATATACACTAAACTCATTATAATTTGAGAAATAATAGCTTTGCAATTATGTTCATTCTTTATGGGATGTCGTCTGCTTGGGCAGTATTGGTCCCTGTTATGACGTCATTAAAACATCGTTATTTTTCTGGCGAATCTCTCGTATATCCCAGCTGCTATGGAGGTGGTTGTATTTTATTTTTATAAATCACCCGATATGTAGCTGACCTCAAACTTGTACGATGGCCATCTGTTAGCCAACCAGTTTCTAGTGATACATTAGTTGACATATTTGTGATTTTCTTTGAATTTCACCTTTAAGCCATATAATTAAGCCAGGATAATAATACTACACTTACTTTGCTGGCACCTTGTGCATCAAATGGAAAAATATACGTGCGCATTTTAAATGCAACTACTATTACTAGTATTATTGATACTAATTTTTTTGATTTTTATTCTTCTTCCTTTTTTCTTTCTTTTTGGATTCATTATTATTATCATCATCACCATCATCATTATTATTATTATGATAACTTCGCAGGATGCCCGAAGCGCTTCGATTTGGATGCTTGTGGAGTATGTGTGCCACGACTCGCAGGAAGCATTGAGTATCACTTCACGTCTGACGAGAGAGATTGCACAGGCAGATGCCCCCGAGGTGAGTGCCACTAACCTGTATTTTCAGTTATATACCTCTCTTTAGAAATCTAGCCATCTGATTGTCTCGAAATTAGAGTCGGGATTTTAGCCATTCCCGTAAAGAAACGAACAATGCCAGTACCGGTTAATAGTTCATAAGTGAGATGCCCGCAAGATTCCGGGGACCGGGAAAATAGTAAAATTTGGCTGCGATCCCCATTGGGTTACGTGTTAAAACTTAGTGTGTGCGGGCGCGAATACCATACAGTGCTTTTTTTCTGCGATTCCCATGATTGTAACATTCATGGGTGTCGATCTGTAACTGATACCTATTCATCGGGGGGGGGGGGGGGTGATCTATTCATTCATCCCCCCCCTGATGAATAGGTATTACGTAAGGATCGACACCCATGGTTATTTTCCAGCGAAGATTAAGAGACAGTGTCTCAGATTTTCCATGATGTTTTAACCAATCTTTACCCAAGAAAAGGATAAGGTGAAATTAGTGTAGGATTTTTGTTTCAATTCGGTATATACTTTAAAAGACATATCGTATGCTTTAATAGTCAAGGCCTGGTAGGATGCAATGTCCCCGTGAGCCTATAACACAGCCAGGCCTCTCACAGCACTCGATATACCTATACAATTTGGTCTAGTGGATTACGGGGTTCGATTCCTTGCCGTAGCACATTATGTCATTTGGCAAGACACTGATATACATGTACCGCACTTGTACGCTGGTGTAGGAAGTGGTTTGTGTTCCACTGTCCCAGGCATCACAAGAGGGTTTAAGTTGCCAAAACTTGTCAAAATTGAAAAAGTAGAAATCGGGCATGGGAAGTAAAGAGAGAGAGAGAGAGAGAGAACTCTATTTTTCTTTATCATCACCACTATTATTATCATTAACATTTTTGTTATTATGACTATAATAATTATTATTATTGTTTTGTTAACATTATCATTATCATGTTTGTCCTCGTTTCGTAACAGATGACGAATACGGTGCTATATTAAATGAGTGTGGACGATGCGTAGCAGGGGCGACTGGACGACCCGTCAATGCAGGCATGAATGAATGTGGTTCATGTGGGTACCTTGGTGGCCGTTCCTGTGTCGGCTGCGACGGAGTGATAAACAGGTACAGTTTTATCGAATGAAATCAATAACAAAATGTTTTTTCTAAGGTTAAACATAAATATGGCATGCCGCATAATATTCAAATGTAAAACATGCAAATACAGTTTTCTCTAAAGAGAAAGAAAACAAGAAGAAAAAAAGAGAAACCATAAAAGGGCATGTCATCACTTTATACTTTAAGACACTTATACAAACCAGTAAATTAATGATAAGAATAATAATATTGATAATGATAAAATTAACAGTAATTATAACATTATTATTATAACATTGCATGAATGTGTCCCAATACATTTGGGAAGAACAAGAAGCAAAAACACATAGAAAATAGGTTGCTGATTTCCTTTTATCCGATTTGTATGTGTAATAAGTGCATACCGAAGTCAGAAAGAAAATTTCATACATTAATTGTTGCTAGATATATAGATATGACAAACATTACGGATTGTCCTACCTAGCAACACGGGATGTATGCATTGCACATTCTGACTATTGAAATACATTATTCGTAACAGATGAATGAATTGTTTTGAGGCACTTTAAAAAAGTTTTGTGCATTTTATTTGATTCATTAAATTTAATTAATTACGAAAATAACCTATTGACCCTTTGTTAACAGTGGCAACGTATATGATGCGTGTATGGTGTGTGGTGGAGATGGCACAACATGTACTGAGGTATCTTCTATCTATCCTAATGTCATCCCAGCAGCAACACAACATGAGGTAAACGATCAATCAATATGTCTGTCAGATCATGGACCTATTACGGATGGACATTCAACGTGATTCTTTCTTTAATCCAATCATAGTCGCCGCCTTCTGATTATGTGCATCTTAATGAGAACATTCAGCTTTTTAACAATAACGACTGTGTAAGCATTTTCGGTCATTGACAAAGGAGCAGTTTCCCTCTCTTGGGTTTTGTTTGGATGGTGTGCTCTGTAAGAATGTGTCTTAAATAAAAGCATCCTCAATGGGGAGCAGCAAAGTTGAAAAGCAGATGATTTTGGTGATATGAAATGTATTATTACTGATTCGCAAACTTTCGCACACACCTATGACCTTATAAAACAATTAGAAAGAGATGATCTGTATCAGCCCTGTGCGTTGTAACTCTGGAATATTATGAGGAAATAGGGGGAAACGGGATTTTAAATCACAACCAAAAAATACAAAAATAACCTCTATCTGGTAATATCAACATGTTTTTCAAAAGAAATACATGTACAGTACACGAAAAAACAATTTCCGATTATAAGCCAGAACTGCACATCTATTTTCCATGATTTAGGCGAGTAATTATCTTCTGCGCATGTAGATTAACATGTGTAAATTCACTACCTTGATTCTGTCCCGGCTTTTCGCCGGCGATCATGATGAGACCAAAGGGAAGAAACATGTACGGAATATTATTGAGACGACATTGACGGATACAATCACAATGACTTCGTTAACTTAAAACGATGAATGTCCATCCGTAATAGGTCCATGGTCAGATTATATGTATTTCATGCGCTCTTTTATCTCACCACGTGGTCAAAAGTTGCAGATTAGCGCATAATTTTCATAACATAACGGCGGCTTGGAGCATGGGGTCAAACGAGAGCGATTTGATTCCACTCCTTCTCTATCACCTCCCTGCTTGGATGATGAGCAACCATGAATATCACCTATGTGGTATAACTGCTAAATATGACCATACAATTTTGAACGTTCATCTGTATTGGTAATACTATATTTTCTCTAAAAAAAGACTGGGACATTACACAGATTCCTAATGTCTACGAACCAAAAGACCGGTTTACTTATATATTCAAATTGTATGCATACATTTAAAACAAAGGTTGTTTTGACAGACATGGGTCCGAGTATTGTAGTTCATTCATAAATAGCAGGTCAATGGAATAACTCGTCCCTAGGTCCCGAGGAAAACATCCATCAATTTGAATATGTAAATAGGCCTATTGCGTCAAAAAGGTCAATTCGGGTCACTCCAAGGCTGTAGCTGAGATTCGTGAGGTAACGACTAATATGTTAACATTTAATGAGTTGTACTTTAAAACATGATGGCCATGTTTTTTTCTTCCTGTAGATCACTATTTCTGGAGCAGGATTCGACCCAGCTCCAGATTGTCGATTCAGGAACCAAGTGGGCACTCTGAACCGGCAGGTTACCATGGCGACATCCAGTGCATCCGAAGGAACGTGCACCATTACTCTTCCAGCAGCAGGTAACATAAATATGAAGACTATTTTGGAGATCATATGCAAAGATCTATCAAATTGTTTAAAATATATAGGCCTATAGATCCTATATATATCGAAGTAAAATGTTTTAAAGAGTACTATTTCATGCATGCATACAAAAATGAATACTAAAAATAGCCCGCTTTTATGTGTGCTTACACAACATAGATAGTTATCATTTCCGAAATATCAATGAAACAGAAATAAATGAGATATGAGAGAGATAATAAGTGTTGTTTTGAACAAGGGAGAAAACATTGATTATGTTCATATAACAAATATTAATAATATTTGTCAAATCGGAAACGCTGGATGTGAGGCACCAACAACGCCACCGATTTTCAATTCAAATGGAATATGTGACTACCTCAGACGGATCTGTAACAAATTAAACTCGTCATCAATACACAGGGTCTGCTATCTGCGGAGATGTCGTTAGATAATAATGACATGTTGACTTTTTTGAGGGGGGGGGGGGCGGTATGACAGAGGAGGTAAAAGAATGTATCTTTAGTGTGTACTATGTGTGAACATTTTAACGTGTGTAGGCTTATCTCCTTTCATTCTAGAGGTAATGGCATTTTAAACATTGCATTGACACGGTTACATGTTTTCTTGCAGGCACATACGACCTTTTACTAATATTTCCTGGTAACTCCGAGCCCGTGGAAACTTCAATTACACTCGAAGTCTATGCCCGTAAGTGTCCACCGTATAAGTCCAGCTGTTCCAATAAAGATTTCGGAGCGTTATGTCTAATGACGTATTAGGTTAAGGTTGAGTGGTTAATTTGCTTGACTCTCTGTCCAAGAGTTGAGGGTTCGAATCCCAGCCGACCACCTATTATCTTTTAGCAAGACGTCAATCCAAATTTGTATGTTTTACTTTTTCAGAATGGAGTTAACTCACGAAATATCGAGTTGTCAAGTTCACTGAATAGAATGTTTAGATACTTCATATGATTTTGTTATCATCAGGTTATGCATTTATAATTATGTTAGAAATTTCAGGTGCAATTATTTCGTATAAAATTATTTAATTACTCTATCTAGCTCTATTTCCTTCTTTCCTTCCTTCTTTCCTTCTTTTTGTTCTTTTCCTTTTTTCTTCTTTTGTTTCTTCTTTTTCATCTTCTTCTATGATATTCTTCTTCTTTATCATCTTGATCACCTTCTCCCTCTTCTTCTTCTTCTTCTTCTTCTTCTTCTCCTCTTCTTCTTCTCCTTCTTCCCTATTTCTTCTTCCTTTTCTCCTTCCTCTTCTTCTTCTTCTTCTTCCTCATCGTCTCCTTTTCCTTCATTATCTTCTTCTTCTCCCTCTTCTTCTTCTCCTTCTTTTCCTATTTCTTCTTATTCTCCTTCTTCTCTTCTCCTTCTTCTCCTATTTCTTTTTCTTCTTCTCCTTTTCCTTCTTCTTCTTCCTTATCTTCTTCTTCTTCTCCCTCTTCTGCTTCTTCTGCTTCTCCTTCTTCTCCTATTTCTTCTTCCTTTTCTCCTTCTTCTTCTTCTTCTTCTCTTCTTCTATGATCTTCTTCTTCTTCCTCATCTCTTCTTCTTCTTCTTCATCTTCTTCTTCTTCTTCTTCTTCTTCCTCATCGTCTCCTTTTTCTTCATTATCTTCTTCTTCTTCTCCCTCTTCTTCTTCTCCTTCTCATATTTCTTCTTCTTCTTATCCTTCTTTTCCTTCTATTTCTTTTTCTTCTTCTCCTTTTCCTCCTTCTTCTTCTTCTTCTTCTTCTCCTTCTTCTCCTTTTCCTCCTTCTTCTTCTTCTTCTTCTCCTTCTACTTCTTCTACTTCTTCTACTTCTTCTTCTTTTTCATAATATATATTATTCCAATCTATTATTCCAATCAACAGCGGTTACCATAGCGTCAGTAGCACCGGAAGAGATTACCCTCGATCCAACATCACTTGCCACCTTGACCTTTACCGCTGCTGCCAACTCCAACTTCCAGGCCGTTGAGGGCATAACACCATACCTCATTTTTGAGAATGGTAAGAGATAATTATGTACAATCATCATGATGATAAACAACATAAGCAATCATGGATAATTTCTGAAATCAAAAGTATTTTATCTTCAGAAAACTCAAATGCTTTGCATGTGATTAAAAAAGTAACATTATATCTGGTACAGAATGATCAACCTGACAGTATATTTGTTTTCATGAATTATGGGGAACTCTTTTCATCCCATATTTGTTTCTGCTTCATATACATAGTGGAATTCCCTCCATGTGCATACATTATCAATAAACCAAAACAATGTAAATAATTTTGTCTAAATAGTATAATCATGATAATTCTAGAGCATACTTGGCAATCACCATCTGCCTCGTCATTCTACAAGGGACTTAAAACATTTCTTTTTTGTAATCCAGATTTTCAGGATACTGTAAGTTTTCATTTCATTTGTTGTAAGATTGTTCTTGTTGTCAGCGCTTCGGGCCGCTCCGGGCCGCTCCGGGCCGCTCCGGGAAACGCGCAGTATATGAGTAAGCATGGTGAATAGGTTTAAACGTTTCAGCATTCATTGCATAGGCTAAATGCAGTATAGTGGATTGACTTACAGTAAAGCAAGGCTTGTTGTTACATGCTTGTTGTAACAGTAAAGCCAGACCTGTTGTAGCCCTGCAACAACCCTGTAACATCATTAAGTAGATTCAAAGAATCACAAGCATTGTCTCACTCACACAGTTTCAGAGTAACATGAGTTTAAAAAAAGATGATTTAGAGTGTTCCCGAATGTTACAATCAAGAATAAGGAGAGGGAAAACAAATTATTAAGAAATTTAAAAAATAACTTAATTTTCTCAAAGATATGTTGAAAAAGATTTCTCATGATCATTTCTCGTCAGGTTTGGAACCTCTGGCTGGAGAGATCAGTGGTGATTCAATGCAGGAGCTTACGTTTACCCTTCGATCCCCACCCACGCCAATGGAGTTGGTTGTCTCCCCGTCTCTCAATGGAATAGACCTGTTACCTGGCGGACCTTTCATGGTAACATTCTTCGCACCAGCACCCGCGATCGGCTCACTCACGTTTTTTCCTTCAAGTAAGAAAAAAAAATAAAAATGTATAAATTACATTATTCGAATTACATTCACAGTAACAAATGAAACGGGATGCGTTTTTGCGGGTACTTGAGATTTAATAGAGGATGGAATCTTGTTACCCTGAATATCAACATCATGACAATAATAACAACTACGACACAAACTTTCCCAACTGAATATAAAATACGTTTACTTAAACGTTACACTGCTCCAATCTGCCCCAGGGAAGGACCCGGGTATCATTTTCGAATCTTTTGATCAATTTATACAAGTATCTGCACATGAAAAACTGGATGGAGCCGGCATGTCCAATCCATAGTACTCTCTGCATCAGGGCCGTCAACAGACGAGAACTTGTGTACAACCCCCCACAGCCCGTAAAAAGGCGACACTGTTTCCTCATTAAAGAGGGCGAACAGAGTTTACCTTCTCATATGGAATTTAACTGTGAGTACCACAAAGTGGGCTGTACGTATAACACCCCTCTGCATACAAAGAAGACACACGGTTCCACTGTATTAAACAGGCGAACAGATGCCTACTTTACAGGCGGGTACATGTCGTCGCTGTTTTCACGAAGTGACGGTAGTGAAAAAAAATTGCATTCACTTTGCGTTAGGATTTTCCTCACTACCGTCACTTCGTGAAAACAAGGACGATGTTATAAATAAATAAACAGGATACCTGTTATCATCGGGGCCCTTACCGGAAAACCATAAATATTGAGCTCTGAAAAACTGGATGGAGCCGGCATGTCCAATCCAAAGTACTCTCTGCATCAGGGCCGTCAACAGACGAGAACTTGTGTACAACCCCCCACAGCCCGTAAAAAGGCGACACTGTTTCCTCATTAAAGAGGGCGAACAGAGTTTACCTTCTCATATGGAATTTAACTGTGAGTACCACAAAGTGGGCTATACGTATAACACCCCTCTGCATACAAAGAAGACACACGGTTCCACTGCATTAAACAGGCGAACAGATGCCTACTTTACAGGCGGGTACATGTTATAAATAAACAGGATACCTGTTATCATCGGGGCCCTTACCGGAAACCAATAAATATTGAGCTCTGCAAGATACAATGGCCAATTAAAATAATCCAAATCATATTCTCCAAAACACAACCTTCCCATGGGGTATTCTGCAGCAGTGTGTAATACACATAATAACCTTTATATGTATATATTAACATATATACACATACACATATATATATGCGAAGAGGCAAAAATGCCAATTTCCGCCACACGGGCACCGCCCGCCGCCACTGAGCGTATATATTTTTATCGCGTAATGTACGCATATAAACTGACATAGTAATTTCACCCTAAATTCTAATGGGTTACTTTCGTTTCACTACGCGTTTTAAACGCGAACACGAACTTGAACCTATTGAATTCAACCAATTACCTTAATTTCATTTCAATACCAACGTTGTGCGATTTCGAAGCTTGAGCTAAATCAACCAACTAACCAAAATAACGTGATAACCACCTTTCGTTTTCAACCAAAAACAATAAATTAAACACCTTAATGACCTCGACTGTGACTATGCTCATGAAAGCACTCCGCGATAACAGTAAGTATAGTAAAACAAAGCCACGAACGGCTATATATATATATGAACTAAGTACGCAAACTTGAACGTGAACATATTGAATCCAACCAATTAGCCAAAATAACATGATAACTACATGTACCTTTCGTTTCCAACCAAAAACTATAAGTTAAAAGCACATTTATGGCCACGACTGTGACTAAGCTCATGAAAACACTCTGCAATAATCGGTAAATAAAACAAAGCCACAAAACGGCTATATATATATATATATGTACAAAGTACGCGAACTTGAACTTGAACATAATGCATTCAACCAATTACCATATCTTTTCAATACCCACGTTTTGAAATTTCAAAGCTTAAGCTAAATCAACCAATTAATCAAAATAACGAGATAACTACCTTTCATCTTAAACCAAAAGCAGTCTTCAATGAAAAACGCGTTCATGGTCCCAACTGTGACCAAGCTCATGAGAAAGCTTTGTAATTTTCATTAACTGAAATACACAGCATCAAAATCCGGGTATATATATGTAATAAACTTAACATGTTAATCGTAACCATTAGCCTAATAAGTCTCTTTCGCGTTACATAAAAGTTTTATGCTTTTAAAGCTCGAGCTAAATAAACCAATTACCCGAAACCTAATAACTACCTTTAAACATCAAAATGGGGAAACATATACTGTATATATATATATATATATCTATACGTTAAATAAATCAACTTAACATCTTAATAAAAACCACTAGCCTGATAAGTCTCTTTTGCTATAACGTACGAGTTTTGTAATTACAAAGCTTGAGCTAAATAAAAATAGACCAATTACCCGAAACAAACGTGATTACTACGTTTCATTACGACTTGAATAACAAAAAACTCCACGAAAATCTATGCCATGTTTTCCAACCCCTTAATAAGGCTATGAAGAAACATATTATTTCCGGTCTCGGAGAGATGAATACCATCATTCCTAAACAGCTCGCGCCGCTCGTGCCTGATGCCCAGGTGAGTCAAAGCACTGCCCCCGATCGTGCGGCATATGCGCCTGGCGTGCTTGTTGAGAGCTCGCCGCGTCCGATCAATTTTGGGCTGCTCGTCTTTACTGAAGCCGCTGTAGGTCCTGCGAGGCAAAATATCCGACCAAATGATGCGGGCATTGGGGAAATGTTCGTGCAATTGTCCGAGTGTTGTATCCAAAAGCAAGAACAATTCGTCTTTTTTAGCTTGCCCGACGTCGTTCGTCCCCACGTGCAGAACGATGTGCGACGGAGAGGAACCGGGCAGCACCCGTTGGACATGTCCACTTAGTTGACCTAGCTTAAGGCCCCTCCTTCCTCTCCAAACGACGTTGGCTGCCGACCCCAAACCTTGTTTTCCCTTACGATGCGCGAAGGCGGCTAACCAGTGGATCATGGAATCGCCTATGAGCAGGATTGTACGAGACTGGCAACCTACAGCAGGAATGAAGAAAAAAGGAAAACTTCCGGCAGCTCATTGTTGTTGATAACTCGTTTCAAAATCACCAATGAAATGTAACAATATTGATCTTCAACTGCCTCATGCATAAACATGAGTCAATTATAAATACTATTTAAACATATAGATCAACCCAAATAACTGATAATTTTTCTTAACACGCTTCCTTAAACTCAAATGATTAAAGAAGTAATATGGTACAATACATCATGAATTATGCAACAGGTAGCATATTAATACGAACATATCTCTTATGCGCGTCCGAGGACCAGCGCCCCGTGTTCTCAATTTCCCCTGCGTCAAACCGGTCATAGCGGCTAATGTGGCCGCGCCTTTTCTGAAAGAATGTGAGTAAATCGTGCCACTGGCAGATCCAAAAAGGACAAACACTATTAATTTGTCTGGCCGAAGGGGTCGCTTTCACGAATTGCATCACCGTAGTAGGCGGGGGTTGAATGCGTGCATGATGCTGTGGCAGTCATAAGCCACAATTCACTATCAATGACAGCCCATGATCTAGTGGGTTCTCTTGCTTGCCTCAGCCTAAACTGCGCATCGTATGTGCGCCAGCCGTAGCCGCCAAATCTAGCCGCCGTCCGGACGGTGTCCATATACTTAAACATCTCTAAGGCCCGAACTATATGCTTCTCGGTGTATATAGACGCAAATACCAAAAATGCGCTGGTCCATTGCTCTATTGAGGTTATTCGCGGCACCCCTCGCCGCGGTTGTACCTGCAATGTCGACCCCGACAGGGCAATAACCGTGGGTGCGCTGCCGTCTGGAACGGGGACATTTTTTAGCAAGGCCCCTAAATCAACAAACTCGCCTTTCCAGATTCTATCCCGCAATGCGCGAGGAACAGCTGACCCCAGCACCTCCCGAGGAGTTGCCAACAAGGGAGGGGCATTGATCATAAGCCCCACCTGCTGCGCCTGCTCAGGGCCTCCAATTGAGTTTAATGTATCAATACCCGCGCAAACCAACGGCCTAGAATCGTACTCACTTGCGGATGGACCCGGTCCCCGCTGCTCCACTCCGGGGTTCGGCTGCGGTGCCTGGACGAGAGGCTCTGATACGGGCTGGGAAGGCGGAGCTGTTGCAGTTGCAGTTCTCCGTGGACGTGAGGACCCAGTTCGGTCAACAGTTGTCCACCTGGATTGCTGCTTAGCCTTCGGCATTATAATTCCCGACGCGATGATACAATTAACAAAGTTATGTAGCTAATATAAAGTTAACCAGTTATGAACTCCAAATGTACACAATTCAAAATCCCGTCGCCGTATATAATTACTCTGAAGAACCAAGTTGTATTAAAATGTTCCCTTCTGTAAATCCGATGTGGAATCGAAGTATAATAGTTGCCGACTACAATGTTTCCTCAATAAAGTCCAATAAATTAATTTGCCACCGAATAATGTCTATGACCATCCTCTAAAAAATCTGCAAGGTGAATGAGGATTCTCACGCCAACACCGTGAGAACCAATATATCCCGGCTAAAATAATTCCATATATAAATTCGAAACATACATTGCGCACATTCCTTTTATAGATACGCGTACATGAAAGAAGCCGCGCGGCTGACTCAAAGGGTGTCGGCATGTTATTGTTTTCTATCAAGATGCCGCTAAGGGTCATCACAGAAGAGAAGCCGCCGCGAACTCGTGATGTCACTGATGAATGTAAACCATTTATATCGCCCTTCGTTCGATAAAATTTCTTATTTAACATGCTATTACCATGTTCGCACAATTTAATATGTAAACAAGATCAAGGTTTTTAAATTTGATTTTGCATAATCCTCGAAAGTCTTCGCCACCGCCTTTCGCTAAGGATATGAAGACCAAGGGTCTGGTATACAATATCTAGGTTTAGCCAATTTAAAACCAGTCTGCACTAGTTTGACCAGGAGGATTAGACCTCCCTGCAAGATCACTGACAAGTGGTTATCTCATCAAATCAGATCTCAATTAGCATAAGAATTAGAGGATCCTGTGGGACAAACAGGCACCGATTAGGCATTGTTTGCTATATAGAGCGGGCGCAAGTAGCTACAAGTAGTGTGGGGCTTTAAAGGCCCACTGCACTACTTTTAGCTACTTGCGCCCTCTATATAACAAACAATGCCTAATCGGTGACCATTGGTTCCCCATGATCCTCTTTTACTTATGTTAACTGAGAGCTGAGTTGATGAGATAACCACCTGTCCAGTGACCTTGCGGGGCGGTCTAATCCCTCCTGTAAACTACGGCAGATAAGCTTTAATCTTCATCACCATTCCCCCCCCCCCCCGTTTTATTTGCAGAAAACAGACTCCTACTTGACTTCGAGGATGGAGTTCGAACCGACGACATTGACGACTGCAGCACCGTATTCCAAGATACTCCTGAGGAGAATGGCATCGCTAGAAATATTCTAGGAACCGGAAGCAGTTGCATGATCATCAGAGGCAACCGCGTCATTATGATCACTCTTGGAGATGGGGATGATCTCATTGGACCAGGTAAGTTTATTATTGAGTAAGTAACAAAGGCTCAGTGGTGGAGCAGTGGTTTCGTAGCTGGGAGGTCCCCAGTTCGAAACCAATAGCTATGTTGTTAGAAACCTACTATAGGCACCGGAAGCAATTGCATGATCATCATAAACAACCGCGTCATTATGATCACTCTCGGAGATGATGATGAACAGCATTTGTATGGCGCCATATATCTGTTTCAAAAAACATTCAAAGGCGCGAGCTCCTCCAATAAAGATGGAGGATGATCTTATTCGACCAGGTAAGTTTCATTGAGTAAGTGAGGTGCGATGGCTTAGTGGTAGAGCAGCAGTCTCATACCCGGGAGGTTCCCGGTTCGAAACCAATACGATGCGCTAGTGCCCTTTGGAAAGGCATTAATCCTCATTACCAAGTCCATCGGAGAGGACATAGAACCGTCGGTCCCCTGGTTGCTATTTTCGAAAAATCGGCTGGAGTGCACTTTCAATATCCTATTATACATCTTATAGAAATCATGTTCGCATTACGTAATAAGTCATTGTAATGACCGTACATATCTAAATGCTACGTCTCTCTCTATGCCAAAGGATGTTGGTCTAATGAAAGTGTATGGAACCCTTTAGATTTCTGATCCTCATACAAGCGACCTTTTTAAGGAATAAAACACAACTTTTTTTTTACACATCTCCACAGATGATACGCTTACACTGCGCGGTGATGTTATCTTCAGCCGATCCGACTTCTCTCGAGCGGTGCCCGAGTCAGTCCTAGCCGTTGAGGTCGGGGAAATCCCCACAGTTGAAGTGGTCTTGCGAGGCTTCTCAAAGATCAGTAGCTGTGGAGACGTACAGCTGTCGGCTCGAGGAACAAAAGGTGGCGCCGGTCGACCTTTGACCTATATGTGGTCCGTCCAATCAGAGGGTGATGTTTCAAACGAACTTGAAGCAGCAGTTACCGGTAATAATGCCCCCCCTCCCACCTTTCCGCTCCCAATAGCTTTCTATATACTCTCTGGATTAAAACATCTATTTCGAATATTACTCATTTCCTAGAATGTTGTTTTTTAAATTGCAATAAAACTGTTTCGAAAATTCTTGAAGAAATATTGAGATCATAGACCACATTTGCATTATCCATAGTTAAATGTTATATAAACTCAAACTTTAACACAAAATGAATGCCCCCTCAACTAAAAAAAAAGGAAAAAAAAGAAAGAAATATAAGAGATCAACCCCCCCCCCCCAAAAAAAAAAAAAAAAAAGAAGAAAAAAAAAAAATAACAATAACAATAATACCATACTTGCATACGCAATACATGCATTATTTATTCGTTCGCATCTTTAGCAATTACGACAGTAGACTTGACGGTAGATGGGGCCCTCCTCACAGCGAATCAAGCCTACACATTCTCCATCGAGGCAGTGAACTTCTTAGGCGGCCCAGGCTCCAAATCCATAGTTGTGATGCGGTCATCAGAGCCGGTTCCCGATCTGAGGATCAATCCGCGCGGCATAGACCCGGAGAACGTACCTGTGTCCCAAAGGTAAACTTTGAATCAACTGAAGCCTAGTTCATACTTGAGTGGCGACCGGTCGCTGCAATACAAATAATTATGATGATAATGATAATAACGATAATGATAATAATGATAATAACGATAATGATAATAATGATAATAATAATGATAATACAATTCTGATAAAGAGGTAGAAGAAGAAGGAAAAAATATAACGCGCTTATAGTGCGCCATCGACCTCATGAAACTGTTCCGAGGTGCATTATTGAATTAAAAAAGTAAGATAGGAGAGTAGGAATTATGTGAGATAACATCTATATGCATTACATTATTCATGATGATAGCCTAGGGTTAGGGTCTGGAAGAGTGTTGGGTCAAATTTTAAAGTTGGAAAAGGTTTAGAAATTGGAGCAATGTGTCGAACAATCTTCACCTGGGACCCGTTTCACAAAGCCTTATTCAATAAAAAATGACAAAACTCAGTGACAAATCTGCTGATAACCAATCAGAAGCAAGGATTTCAGTAGCTTATAACAAAAACTGTCATATGTCACTGATTATAAGTTCTGTGAAACGCCACTGTACAATGTCTTTCAGGTTCTTCCTTGACGCCGACGTGACCTTCTATTCGGACTGTGTGGGCGCTGGTCCAGAGGAGACAGAGTTCGTTTGGACAGCTAATACGGAGACCTTTGATAATAGTATCCATGCGGGGACTGCAAACTCCAGAACTCTGGTCATAAAGGCCTTCTCTTTCCTTGGTGAGTAAAGCCTGCCCTCTGTCGTTCTATTTTGGTTTGTTATCTTGGGAATTTTTAAAATCAAAATTACTTATGATAATTCCCCTAATATCTATATACTTGACCATCATGAAAAGAATTATAAGGACTAAAACGATATTAGATCACCTTAATAATTACCGATGATGGCGCCCAGTGAGTCGAAAGACTTTAATAGAGAGGGCCATTGTATAGCAGGTCTGTTCCTGATCATATAAAGCGTCATTTCAAGAATAAACTATCGCTTGACTAATCCAGACACTTAAACCGAAATCCAATTTCGTCCTATCCCTTTTTTAGTCATTCATTCTCTGGTCATTCCTCTCTTGATAGTAATTAAATCACCATTCCAGGGTTTTTAATTCAGTTCACCATTTACACTTTTGGGTCTATCTAATTTTAGCTTTTACAGATAGTATATCCCAGTCTTTGGATGTATTCATGATTCTTCCTGCAATACATTTAAATAAACGTTTTGATAATTGTAAACTCGATAATCAAAATTAAGTTTGGACGGCTCCATTCATCTTTTTTTTAATTAAAAAAAAAAAGACAAAAAGACGAAAAGAAATTATATATACGTGAGCTACTAACAGATTCATGCTTTACATTTTTTCTCTTGATCAGGCGATTCTGAAGTCACGTTCACTGTCCAAGCCAGACGGGCTGGTGCTACGTCAGGCCCTACCAGTGACATCACAATACGTTTCGCATCATCTGAGCTTGTTGCTACGATACGAGGGGGCAGTGAAAAAAGTGTGGGAGTGGACAGTGGGATGGTGACTCTTGATGGTTCACGGTCACGTGACCCTGATCAACCAACCGGTTCAGACCAGTCAGACTCTACTGATTTGACGTACGAATGGAGTTGCGAACAGGTATGTTGTTTCAGGCATTTCTTCATCTTTGAAACCCCCCTCTGTACTACTTATAGCTACTTGCGCCCTCTATATAGCAAACAATACCTAAGCGGTGATCGTTGGTACCACATGGTCCCATTTTTCATATGTTAATCGAGAGTTGATTTGATGAGATAACCACCTGTCAGGGACCATGCAGGGAGTTCTAATCCCTCCTGGCCAAACTAGTACACATAGGCTTTAAATGTGTGTGTCATCGGGTTTGAAGAGATGTGTATCAATCAGATATTATTAATTACGTCTATAGACACCGACCCTAACGTCACCATCCGAAAGAAGTGACTCAGTTTTGAACCAGCGTTGCCTAGCTGAGCCAGTGTGTAGGCAAAGACAGAAAGCTGACCAAGTGAACGTGCCGCTAGCCCAACTCATATCTCATTTTTTAAAGACCCTATCCAATGAAAATACAACTTGATATAAATGGAAAACTGAATGAATGTAGAATACAAATGTAAAGGAATACAAAGCATTTACCGTCTTTATTATTGCGCAAAAGCAAATTTAAACCTCATTTCCGCACCCCTCCAAATTACGGGTCAGCAGGGGTCAAATTTGCAGAAGTTACAATGACGACATAACATTTTGACCCGATCGGTTATTTGATGTTAATTTGATGTTATTTTCAGACGACAGATGCCACATATTGTACAAGCGCGCAAGACGGATCCATGTTCCCAGCTGACAATGCTACATCATCATCAACTTTGACCTTTGATGCCGATGACATGACCCCGGAAAGACTTACCAGTTCACTTTGGATGTAGCATCCGGAAACAGGAGGGCTTCGACAAGTGCGCTGATAGACGCAGTGGCGGGAAACCCCCCGTTGGTAAGACGCATTTTCAAGTTCATGTTTAAGTTAACTTTATTCAATACTTCATTAAAACATACAAAGGAAAACAAACATATAACAGTTAAAATATAATACACGTATCAATATATAACATGAGAATAACACAAGTAGAGAAGACATCAGGAACAAGGGGGAAACATTTTAAACATGTACATTAATGAAAGTATTTGGAGACTAGACAGGAAGGCCTGGCCTTATGTAAAAGTCTATCTTCAATAATTGTATAATAAACTAAGTACATTATTAAAATTATTTATTTTTTATAAAAGGAAGACAAAAGGAAATAATTTGCATTCACACACACACTCTCTCCTACACACACCAAAACACACTTATCTGATGAACCTTAAAAATATAGGTTATTGCACTATTATGTCAATATGTAGACTAATTTAATTACTCCAGTTAAGAAAATATTACAAAACATGACGATTATGAATACAATACGTAATTGCGAACAAGAAACAAAAATTGAAAATAAAGGAGAAAGTATACCCAATCAGAATAATTATTTTAAAATTTGCAATTGATCGCAAACCTTCTGTTACAGGTTCATTACAAGGACATAAATTTAACAACTGAATCGTTTATACCCCTTGTAGATTTGATTTTTTTTTAAATATGTTTTCCGTACTCAAGAATGAAAGGTGGACTAGTTGTACTGTAAGTGTCATGTAATGCAACAATGGTGTCATGCTTCTGATCTGGTTTCTGATCCACATGTACAAAATGTTCCCTACATGTATTTAGAAGCTAGACCTGATGCATATTCGTTGAAGTTGAAATTGAAGGGAAAACATTTTTGTGCTCCAGTACAGTTATACGCTAACAGTGTATCCACTTTTCAGATTTTGATATTGTTATCTGGCGATGTGAATCCGAACCCAGGCCCTGTCACACATAACTCGGCCTCCTCGGATAACGATAACAGTACAAGGTATTCTATATCATACAAGTATGACAGCAAAACACTTCACTCTTTTAATTCGCGTTCATGCTCGCTACTGTGGCGTGAACAGAATGAGGAATTATGTAATATGATTATGTCTTTAGGTATTAACAGACATGACATAGGGCGGAAGACACATCGAGGTATGAAGGGGGGCCGTGATCCTTTTAATAACAACCTCAAACTTGGTATGTTGAATCGCCGTTCTGTTCGTAATAAATCTACCTTATTAGAGGAATTTATTATTGACCATAGTTTAGATTTTACATGTGTTTGCGAAACTTGGCTAACTGCATCAGACGATGCAGTGATTGCTGATCTTTGCCCTCGTGGTTATCTGTTCAAGCACCATCCCAGAGCTGCTAAACGTGGCGGCGGGGTCGGCTTTCTCTACAGGGACAGTCTCCACGTCGATATTAGTCCAACAGGCAAATTCGAAACATTTGAATCAATGTCTGGAACTGTATCTGGCGGCTCTACACAGGTTGACATTATAGTCATATACAGACCACCAGGATACCAGTCTTTCACTCAGTTTCTTATCGACTTCTCTGCGCTTCTTGATGAGAGGTTGTGCAAACCATACCCACTTTTGATCACCGGAGATTTAAACATCCATCTAGATAACACTTCATCCCAGCATACACTCAGGTTTGTGGACCTTATTAACAGTCATGGCCTATCCCAATTGGTTACATCTCCGACTCACGACAAAGGTCACATTCTGGACGTCGTTCTGGTTCGCAATTCAGACAATTTGTCAATTTCGAAGCCAAGTATCGTTCCAGGTATATCAGATCATGCTGCAATCACTTGTGTACTTCGCTTCACTAAGCCTGCACGCAGCGACAGAACATTTGCTTCCCGTAATATTAAAGACATAAACAGGATAGCCTTCGCGAAGGATGTTGCTGAGAGCGACATTATGCCCTTAACGTCAGAGAGTGTCAACACAGCTACTAGTCGCTACAACACCATTCTTTCTTCGCTCCTCGATATTCACGCTCCTGCCAAGATCCGCAAGGTTCGAGACCGTCAGGACAATCCCTGGTACAACGGGGAGATTACTGCTGAGAAACGTAAACGTAGGCAGCTTGAGCGGAGATGGCGATCTAACGGCAAGCTTCACATTGACAAAGAGATGTTCCGTGCGCAACGAGATTTCACGAACTCTCTCGTCGAACGAGCCAAACGTTCGTACTTTGTCGGGCTAATCGATAAATGTGGACATGACTCTAAGAAACTCTTCTCTACGGCCAATCGTCTCTTGAATCGGAAACAGAACTCTCCACTTCCAAGACATTCTGGTAGTAAAGAACTGGCTCAAAGATTTATTCAGTTCTTCCGCTCCAAGGTTCAGAAGATCCAGGACAGTCTCACTCCTGACTTAACTCCACCTGATCCTGTCACGTCAGCATCCCTCGAGACGATTCAACCTACCACCTCCGATGAGATACAATCACTGCTTCATAGATTGCCAGCTAAGTCGTGTAAACTAGACCCTGTCTATACTGTTCTCGTTAAGGATTGCTCCTCTTCATTTGCATCTGTTATCTCACAGATTATCAACTTAAGTATTGTTCAGGCATGCGTACCTTCTGTTCTTAAAACGGCACACATTCTTCCTTTACTGAAGAAACCCAATCTTGATTCTGAATTACTAAGTAATTACCGTCCAGTTTCTAATCTCCCGTTTTTATTTAAAATACTTGAGAGGGTGGTGTTCTCTAGATTAAATGATTACTGTCTCGATAATGACCTCCTTGACCCATTTCAATCTGCATACCGTCCCCACCACAGTGTAGAAACCCTCCTTGTTAATGTATCCAACTTTATACTCCAGGAGATGGATGGCGGAAAAGTAACTGCTATGGTACTCCTTGATTTGTCTTCCGCCTTTGACACTGTTAACCACACTGTTCTGGTGAATACCCTCATTTCACTCGGTATTAAAGGTCAAGCCCTGGAATGGTTTAAATCATACCTGTCATGCCATTCTCAAGCTGTCTTGATAAACGGCTACCTTTCAGATTTTGTACCACTTACATGCGGAGTTCCACAAGGCTCTGTGGGCGGGCCCACGCTTTTTTCGTTATATTTAACGGGTTTGAAGAGTATTTTTCATCGCCATTCTCTCTCTTATCATGTTTATGCTGATGATATTCAAATATATACTTCTTTCAAACCCAATCAGAGCAATGCAGCCAGCGCTATCCATAACATTGAGACTTGTGTACAAGATGTTCATAATTGGTTAAACTCACATTCACTGAAATTAAATCTCGCCAAATGCGAATTTATAATGTATGGTTCCGAGACTCAGTTAGAGAAGATTTCTTCCATCACTTCAATTACTCTTGCTGGACATGAAATTACCCTATCTAATGTATGTCGCAACCTTGGTGTGTTTCTCGACTCAAACATGAAAATGTCTACTCAAATTCAATATGTCTCAAAATCAGTACGTTATCAGTTACGCAATTTGGGTTTTATTCGTAAATATCTTAACCGTGGTGCCACCGAGAAAATTACTCATGCTTTGATTTCTTCTCGCTTGGATTTTGGTAATGGCCTTTTGTTTAGTTCGCCTCACAACCTACTCGCAAAATTACAAAGATTACAGAATGCTGCTGCTCGTGTCGTGACCCTGTCCAACAAGTACAGTCACATCACACCAGTCCTCAAATCACTCCATTGGTTGCCCGTAGAAAAACGTGTTGTTTTCAAGATTATTTTGCTATTATTTCACTGTATACATGGCTCTGCTCCGCAGTATAACATCGGCTTGATTAAGCATTACTTTCCTTCTAGACAGCTACGTTCTCAAAACTCTGGCTTACTTGTTACTCCTAGGGTTAAAACAAAGTGGGGGGAACGAACCTTCGCTCATGCTGGGCCTTCGTTATGGAATACTCTCCCTCAATGGGTTAAGAATAGCAGTTCTGCTGAGGTGTTAAAAAACAATCTTAAGAAATATCTGTTTAATTTATCTTATAATTGATTACCATTACCTTTCATGTCTGTACCTTTCTTATCGCACTTTGTATAAATGTATCAAGTATGTATTTCATCTTTTGCACAAGCTGCGCCTTGAGCATTTGACTGTCAAGTGGATTTGGCGCCTTATAAATCATATGTATTATTATTATTATTATTTAAATTTAATAAATAAATAAATAAATAATAATAACAAAAACGTTACTTATAAAGCGCTTACCACCGAAGTCTCTAAGCGTCATTATGTCATATCCTCAAGAAACATAACCCGGGACATAGAAACCAATTCATCACATACAAAACACAAAACTTGATAAGAGTATGATTAATTTAGTTATAATAATAATAAATGTAACTTAGATAGCGCCAAATCCACTCTGTGGAGTGCTCAAGGCGTACAATTAGGGACTGTTAGATTCTGCACGACGAGAACGTGAACTGCCCTTTTAAGGCAATGTGACGTCCTTTTAAGGCACTGGCAGTGACGTCACATTGCCTTAAAAGGGCAGTCCACGTTCTCGTCGTGCAGAATCTAAAAGACCCTAGTGTTAACTGAAGAATTACTGTAGGATAACATTATAAAGGCTAAATTTCTTTTCTATTTATATAGATACTAGTATTCAGATCGACAGAGGGACCTGTGCTATCCACCGAACCAGTTTCATTAACAGCACTGATTGGTCATGCTTCACCGGACGTCATCGCATGGACCATCACCGGCCATGATATAGGTAACAACTACCAACTTAGAAAACAATACAAAATCAACTTTATTGCAAACAGGAAAATGGTTGCAATATCACCCCCAAAAAATTGCTTATGGATTACTTTTAAATTTAAAAATGAGTGGATATGATTGACATTTGGGATTAAATCACGATGGAACGCTACGGTAGTCCAAAATACATTTATCTGTTCGTAAGTTCTTGCTTTTCATTATTTTGTGATTTTCAGCAAATGTTCTA